AGAACAAACTAACAGAGTTCCAAGTATGCTGCGGCTTTTCCTTGCCATTTTAATACGAATCAGTAATCAATATTTCCAAAGGAAATAATAACACTGAACTGTGAATACAGTAAAGATCAGGCATGCTGTGTACTGGTTCATAATGGCCAGCTGGATGTCTGTGGGTGGATAAATAAAATCTGTGTGCCATGAGCGTGGGAGGAAAGGACCGTACGATGCCAGCAGCATTTTTATAAGGGGGAAAATGAAGATCGGTGAGACCCTCTTAATGGTGTGCTTGAACGGGCCAGTCGGAGTTGCCATGACTCCTGTCTCTTGGGTTGCTATGACGGCAGCGTCTTCACATCGAGCTCAGATCCACCTAATCATAGGTTTAATAGATGTGTCCTCACAGACACACAACGCTCTTCTATTACCAAATACTCCCCCAACTGATCTTGCTCAGAGCTTATTTACATCAGTGTAATCTTGTGACACCTTGTTCTTACTACTGTAATTATATTAAAGTCCCCCACAGTCACTAATTGTATCCCTTAAAACTAATCTTTGATAATCAAAATTACATATTTAACCGTTTTTCCAGTGAAAATAAATTATTGATGTCTTAAAATGGCTTGAATATAACTCTACACCCTTAAAGTCCCCATGAAATCAAAATTAAATTTTATCGGCCGATATGAGCCTGTCGCCGATATATCGGTATTGGTGAATATGCCGCCGATATGAATTTTTTTTTACAGAACATATAACGTAGATAAAATGCTTGAAATTGTGTAATTACTTAGTTTGTCCAGCAGAGCGCGCTCCATTGTTTACTACTGGCAACCTGGATGAAACGGTTTAAAGCTTAAGTCTATGGAAAACCATTGAAACTTTGAACGGCCATATCTCCGTAATGGCGTGGCAGATCCGCACCAAATTCGTGGGATCCCTTCAGCTCGAGGAACCCTCTCGAACCCGAATCGAGTGTACGTCTCGAGGCCCTCTTTCGAATGAGACCACCCCCATGTCGATAGCCCTGGGGTTCGGGAGTTACGGCGGTTAAATTCGCAGTCCGGTGCCGACCGATCTAGCGATCCCGGGGGGCTCCCAACGCGCGGAGGGTGGCGTTTGAGAGGGCTCCTCGAGCTGAAGGGATCCCCCGAATTTGGTGAAGATCCGCCGGCGCGTTCGCGAGATAGTGACACCAGTCAACACTTTCACTTCAGTAAGGAGGTCTCTTGTTCAGGCAGCAGCATTCAAGCGTTGTCTTATTCGACCGTGAGTGCCCTGCGAAGTGGACTTCACATGATATTCCGCCATGATTCCAGTTCCAAGGGAACGTACACGTTACATTCAAAGGGCATTAAAGTGCGCGAGATGTGAATTTATATTTATTTACAAAGGTATATTGTCACACTTCATACTTCTCTAGTAAGTTTCGTCTGTGTGTGAAGACAGTAGCGCAAATCCGTGAATGAATGTTCCAAAGTGAAATCAACTTCAAAGGAATAAAGTTGAATGGAACTGAATTGAATTAAAGTTGAATAAACTTCAACTTTACTGTTCAGTGCACTGATGTCAGATTCATTTTGAATAAAGTTTATTGTTAAATGCCCTGCCTCTATCATTACATATCTTTGTCACGTCATTATAAGTGTTTGATCACACATTTGAGTGATCACTGCAAAAAATGTGTTTGTATATATATTCTGTTTATGTATATACTGTATTCTATATATAGTACCAGTCAAATGTTTGGACACACGAATGGGAAAGTGTACAAACTTTTGACTGGTACTGTACTATAATATACACAAAGAATATCGGCCGATACCTTTTTTTAACTCCCAAATATCGGTATCGGCCCCAAAAAACCCATATCGGTCGGGCTCTAATCAATATGTTAGTCTTAAGGTTATCTATAAGGCAGTGTGCTCCAAAACAGTGCCAAAATTCGCATTTAGAAGATATAAGCATTCAAAGCGTGCAGTTCGTCACTTCCGCCAAAACGGCTCAACGATTTTTTTGACGTCACATCGTACTTCAGCTTCTCATCAAACTTTCTGTCCAATCAAATGCTCTCTAGAATCCGAAGCGCCCGCCCCCTACACTATAAAATAGATGCTGAAGCCGTGGCTGAAATCGGTCACTTGTCTACAGAATTTGTATTTTCTGTACAGTGAATGGCACGTAACAGTGTAAATATGCTTTCCATTGAGGAAAAAAAGAAGTCTGGTTTCGCGCTGTCACGCTAATCCAGAGACACGATAGCATGGAGCGGATCACATGCGTGAGTCGGCGCAGACCACAAAATGTATCTGAGCTATTTGAATTTTACACAGAATGCTATATTTTATAGTAATATGAATGAGATTGTGGCTGGCATACCCTGTCAAATGCGGCTTTACGGAGCTCAACGGCTCTGAACGGCTCTAGCCCAAGCTGTGATATAAATGAACGCTATTGGCTATTTTAAAAAGGGGCGGGGCTGCTTGATATGTCCCGCCCTGTCATCCTGTTTCAGTTAAAATGACGTCAACACATAGAGTAACGCTGCGTGTTTCTAAGCATTACAGGGGACCTTTAAAGGGATAGTTCACCCAAAAATGAAAATTACCCCATGATTTACTCACCCTCAAGCCATCCTAGGCGTATATGACTTTCTTCGTTCAGACGAATACAATCGGTGTTATATTAAAAAATGTCCTGGCTCTTCCAAGCTTTGCAATGGCAGTGAATAGTGGTACAGATTTTGAAGCAAAATAAAGTGCATCTATCCATCATAAAAAGTATTCCACATGGCTCCGGGGGTTAATATAGGCCTTTTTCTTATATGGATATATGAAAAATATCCATATTTACACACTTTATAAACTGTAATCTCTTGCTTCTGCTGACTCATTTAGTATATGTGGATATGCAAATTAGGCCCTGGCTCCACTCAATTTCACCAGCCTGATCCACTTTCACTCAGTTAACTTAAAGGGATAATTCACAAGGAACTGAACATTATTTACAACATTATTGTATATGTATAAATATATATATATATATATACACATTATTATTATTATGAAATACTTTACAGTTCAATAGTAGTAGAGTGATATTACTTTACTGATTTGTTTACTTTTTATAATTTAATTAAATAACAATAATAATATATAAAATATGAATAGTAAAAAATTCCAATTTGTTATGCCTGTTTTTGAATGAAATAATGCATACAGTTTAGGGCTGCACGATAAATCGCATGCGATATTTAATGCGCATCTTGTCAGTAAAGCCGCTTCTGTAATCAGCGGTAAATCTCCATCACCTGCGTGCTTTCACATGAAGCAGCATTTACTACACAGAGCCGTTGTTCACCGACAAGCTGCACAAAACCACGATCATAAAATACGAACATTTTCATGAATTCGAAAGTTTACGTCAGAACGGCTTTACGAACGATTTACACAAAAATTTGTTCTGCTCGTGTTTCATGAATGAGGCCCATTGTATTCAAGGACTGTCTTCCTCCAGTGCAATAATCCGACCTGGTTAATCCGACTCTCCCCTGTTTAGCACACAGAGATTAAATTACTGCAGTCAAAGCGACCGGGCAACCCACCGCAGCACAAATAAATACTATGCAGGCCTGTGAGGGCGCACAACAAAAACACTGCATTTGTGCACCTTGTACTATACTGTATGTTATGGCAGATGGCACATAGGTTCATATTTATATGTCCAGAAGGCATTTAATATAACTAACTAAAAACTTGAGAGCAAATCCCTTGTGTGGTGAATGAAAACATGCATGCTTGGTGATGCAAGTGGCTGCAGACTGCGAAGCAGTCCCACCGTTTACCATCAAACACACGTGCATGACCACAGACGCTGCAAAAGCACTGCATGTGGGGTAACGGAAACCGCCATGTCCATTCATGCATTAAACAAAAACCTTAGTTTAAGTTTTTTCAATTTAAGCATGAAAGAACTCATCCAAAACACCTTCAGGGCATAAACAATACTGTTTTTGCAGTGCATTCTGACTCTGCTTTTAGAAAACGAGTGAATAATAACAAAACCACCATCAGAGCACTACTGCTCCTCTAGCTACAACAAAACATTTATGCTTGGAAGGAAGACCTGTTGGAAAATCCAGTTTAAGCAGGAAGGAACATGGTAGCTGGTTTCTAGCTGGTCCAAAAGCAGTTTGACCACCTTAAACTGGCATTTGTTCTGGTCCAAGATGGTCAACCAGCTAGTGATCATACTGAACCCTTTCAAAATGGATTTTACAGTTGTTTGTTCATAACTGATTGTTCACTAGTTCTTTGTTAAACAACAAGACAAGAGGAAACTAATATATTCAGGTTGAAAACAAGCATTTACAACATTAGATCTCCCTTACACACAATTTACTATGGTAACCATACACTGTAAAATGTTTATAATAATTATTATAATATAACATCTTTGTTTCAAAGATCATTTCATTTAACTTGTCACAATATTTTAGCTATTTATACTCGAATGTATGGGCTTCAAATCAATTTTCTTTATTCATAATTCAATTCGAAGTGGTCAAAAGTGTTCGTTTTATTTTTTTACTTTGTTACTTAAAAAGGCAGTATTAAAACTGTACTCTTATTGTATTGTTATTAGCAACCACTGCCATCAAAACAAATAAACAAACAAGAAGAGACAGAAATATACTGACGCTGTTTGAAAGTAAAGTTAATCACAAATTAATAGCAGTAGTCCCTGTTGAAACCAATATCATAAACCAGTCTAAGACGATTTAGGCTACTGGTTTTGAATTGGCCAAATATGTGTTCAACAATAAGTCCCCAACCACCTCTGAAAAACCAGCAAACCAGAGATGCCCACCTGAGGTGTTTCAAGATGGTTATTTCAGTAGCGGTAATAATAACTGCAGTAACTAAGGTGAAACTATGGTTACTATGGCGAATTCTCGTCAGTGTTTTCGGTAACAGCCGCGTGTCAAAGCCAAAACAAAAGTTACTCACGTCCCGAGCACCTCCTTGAATACAAACATCTCCTTGATATCAGCGACCTGCTTCTTCCACGAGCAATCCCCGCCGGCCTCTCCGTTCTCCCGAGCCATGGCGGAAAAAAACGGGGAGGACCGTAGATGGAGATGTGAGCGCTGGAGATCCCCGGAGATTTCCCCCGCTTTCCCACGCTGCACTTCCTGCTGTCTGCTTCTCTTTCTTCCCTCCCCGGTCTTACCGTTAGCGAATAACCCCGGTGAGGATCTCCCGCGTGCGCTCGTCTCCCTCAAGCAGTTTAAACGTTTTGACGTAAATAGTTCGGAGAGGCGCGTGCGTGCGTGTGTCACCTTTGCGGAGTCTTAACGGCACCGGTGCGAGTTTATTCCGCCCCGCGCGGCTGCTTAACGTTGATCCCGCGCGGACTGATGCGCTGCATCCGTTGTTATGGCAATGAGGAGAGAGAGAGAGTGAGTGAGTGAATGAGGAGGAGGAGGAAGATGCTCTGCTCCTCACCGCGCGACCTGACAAAGAGCAAATGCATGATAAATATGGCAAGCCGTTTTAACATTCAACTAACACGCACGTGTTTTTTATGGTATGAGCACTTACTAGTATTTTTAATGAATAAAATTAAAATAATTAACGTTGCTACTAGTCACTATCCCAGTTGCAAGAAGTTACCAATTGCTACTGGTACCTATTCCAGTTATACTAGTACTGATATATATATAGAGAGAGAGAGAGAGTGAGATTTAAATCGGTATATATTCTGGTTTTTACCAGTTTCTTATGAGACAGTGAATTGTTATTAGCACCCTTTTTACCTCACTAGTAACTCTTTTTCTTTACTTGTTACACATAATGGTTATTCGGAATGGCTACTTTATAAATCTTTTTTTACATTCAACATTAAGCATTTACACTTATGTTTCAGATAATGTGTGTATCATACGTTAGTGTTTACCATACAACTAAGAATAGTGTTCATCAGAAGTATTACTACTTAAATTTCAATCAAAAATCTTACTAATAAGACTAAAATGTTATTAGTAATAAATGTATAACACACTGGGTGTTTAATATGTACTAGTGTCTATTCAATTAAGTATTTAAAAATGTGAATAACTGATATGTGAACCACAGATCCTCATAGAAGTCAGTGAATAACTGATATGTGAACCACAGATCCTCATAGAAGTCAGTGGCAAAAATGACAATTCTGCTACTTTTAAAAATGGAATAAGTGTGATGATGATAGTGGCAAAGGAATAAATACTAGTGTCATGAATTCTGTCCATAGACTTCCATCCGACTGCCACAAGAGGTCGCCTCTTCATCATATTGACTCTCACACCACACAGACTGTTACATGTCACTCCGGACTACAGTTCCCATCATCCATTGCACTGATTACACACACACACAGCTGAATCCAGTCAGACACGCTTTATAAGCCCCGGACTTCCTCGTTCAGATCGCAAGTGTTTTGTTCTGCATTTATCACTCTCCTAGTGTTAGCTGCTTTACTGAGCCATTCCGTGTTTCTGTTTAGTCTCTAGTATTGTTCTGCATTTATCACTCACCTAGTGATAGCTGCTTTACGGAGTCTAGTTTCTAGTTCTAGTTTAGTCTAGTCAAGTATGTTTCCTTATTCCTGCCTGTGTATCTTGGATTAACCCTTGTCTCGCCGCTCGGACTCTGTTTGTACCTCGTCTGGACTATTGCTCATGTTTCTGGATTACCCCTCTTGTCAAGCCCTCTGGATTCTGTTCGCCCATCGATGACCTACGCCAGCCCTAGGAATACTCTGGCTTGTCTTATACATATCTGTTTGCTGATGCTCGACCCTGCCTGTCTATGACCATGTCTATGAATAAAGCTTTGCGTATGGATCCGCACGTCTCACGTCTCGTTCGCCCCGTAACAACTAGTATGACATTATAAGTGACTTAGGGGAAAAAAAATGTGTATTGTGGAAGGAGCCATGAAATTAAATTGACTTGAAAACCGTTCGCCCCGTAACAACTAGTATGACATTATAAGTGACTTAGGGGAAAAAAATGTGTATTGTGGAAGGAGCCATGAAATTAAATTGACTTGAAAACGGAGTTTAATAGAGACTAGTCACTATTGAAATAAGTACTAGTATCTAAGGTATAGTTAATGAAACCGTATTGGATTGTTTTTTAGTACTTAAAAATACATTCTAGTAACAAAGTTCTAAGAAATAAATGTTAAGTTGGCTTGCCATATAAGAGCGTAGAAGAGAGGAGGAGGAGAGACCGTGTGGCTGAGTGGATTGTTCGCATTGCACCAAAAGCATGCTCAGGTCCAACTGAAAAAGGCATGCATCTGTTCAGATCAATTATTTTTAATAACGTCTAAACTCTTAGGGTACCCTGTAGGAAATGAAACGGTGGTCATTTCAATATAGATGCATTATGGGACATGGAAGAAGAAGATATTAATCATTGTTTATAGTTACTGCATTTTAAAGCAACAAAGTCAGTTGGTTAGGCAAAATAGTTTAGGCAAAATCAAGGTAAAACAACACTTTGGCTACATATGGTGGCACCTATTAACAGGCTAATGATGATAGTAGTGCACAAACTAGCTTTAGAGTTCTAAATGTGCCTGTGTTAATAAATAAAGTGCACTTAAAATGAATGTATTGCTATTAACCAACACATCAAGACTGAAATACAAATTAACACAATTCATAACAACATAATTTACCTTAAGGTCAGCATGCTGCCATGTGACTTGATGACAAAGATGGTGACTGAAGTATTTACAGGGACCTTTGCCATTTTCCCCAAAAAAATTAGGCCTATTCACCTACTGTCCCTTAAATGTCTACACCCCCCATAATTCAGCAACATTTAAGGGTTAAAAAGCATGTTTAAGAACAAGTTTTAATAGTAGGATCGAAGCTTGCTTGACACGTGCCTGATGTGGATGTCAGACTGGCTGAATGCTGTTCACGTTTATCAATAGTCAGCGGCGAGGACAAAATGAGTGTGTGTGTGTGTGTGTGTATCAGTCAGCTCTGCTGTAGTCTACCGCTCATGAGTATTCCAGCTGCAAACCACTGCAGTTTCTCAGCTCTGGAAAATCTGTCCCTCTCTTTGCATTATGTCTTGCTCTTGTCCTCTTTCTTTTTACCAGCTCTTGAGTCAGCAAATCTAAAGTTTGATCTGACAGTCAGTCACCACTAGCCCCTCCTCTGCTTGCCCCCCCCCAGAAGATATTTGTCCTCTGATTCCCGAGTCCACTTGTGCATTTGTGTTGTCAGTCATTAGGAAACATTCCCAAAACATGCAACCCAGCAACCGTGGACAAAAAGTGCTAATGAAGACACCTTGATGTGCAGGGCTCGCTGGTAGTTGTTCATTTGTTGCTAGTTAAATTCAAATGAACATCTTGTTCGTCCTATTACATACATATCAGTGCAAATACACCAAAGCGAGATAACTTTTTGGGAGAAAGAATATTCGGTAACAATATTTACAATAAGGTTTAACTGGTTAACTTTAGTTAATGCATTAAGAATCACACACGTGGCAGCAATGAACATGTTTCAAGCATTTACTAATTTTGGTCAATGTTGATGTAGTATATAATTATACTACTGTTTATTGTTAAATTCATGTTTGTTCTTAATTGATTTACTAACGTTCATTTATACAACTTGCAGTGTTAAAAATGTATTGGTATTGACAACGTTAACGTACAGAACCTTATTGTAAAGTGTTAACAAATAATGTGCATATTGTGTATTCCTATATTTAAATCAAGACTGTAATTAACAGGATTCCCAAATCTTTTGACCAATTAATTTCCATGTCTTTTCAATTAACTGTCTGTCATTTATGATAACTAGATAAGGATTTTATAAGTTATTTTATACAGATTGCAATTACACAATTTCTTGAGGTTGAAGTATTTTAAAGCTGAACTAGAAATGGGTAGTATATGCACAATACAAATTGATATGCCGTTTTAAGATTTTATTAAATTCAATTGGTTTTGAAGGCCTAGGAATGAAAGTAAATATTAAGAGAAAGTTTAAAGGTATTCCAATTACAGCTTATTCTTGTACACAGTTCTTTATTATTTGGCGCCCCCACGTGGATGCTCAAATTTAGTTTGGTCTCATTATGGAGATACAAAATTTTAAGATGGCATAATTTACACACAAACATTTTTTTTTTTAATTAAAACTTTTTTTATTACTTCATAACAGTTTTAAATCTATTGCACTATGAAATGTATGTGTGCGACCACTACTGCAGATAGAAAGCATAAAAACGTCTTCTGCAATACAGAAGTGTGCATATTAGTTGAGCATTTGACAGGGACTTTATTGGTAAGCACACATCCCATTATATACAGCAAGGAGACCTTCCTACAAAGCTTGGTACCTCAATTTAATCTCAACCCTGAAGTAGCCAATCAAGATCTTCCAATTCACTTGAAAAATACAGAAAGGTCTATTCAAACAGGATAGGAAGTAAACTGCAGGAGGCAGTAGCAAACTACTAAAGTCCCTCGCCTTCTTCATCAGACTCCTCCTCCTCCTGCTGACCCTTCTTCTGCAATTACAGAGAAAGGAAATAAATACAAGTGTAAAAATCAATCAAATTTCTATTTTGATTTTGTTATATTTAAAGGAATGGTTCATTCAAAAATGAATATTTGCTGAAAATGAACTCACCCTCAGGCCATCTAAGGTATAGATGAGCTTATTTCTTAATTTAAACAGATTTAGATAAATTTAGCTCACCAATGGATCCTCTGCAGTGAATGGGTGCCGTCAGAATGAGTCCCCAAACAGCTGATAAAAACATCACAATCCACATGACTACAGTCCATCAATTAACTTCTTGTGTAGTGAAAAGATGCATGTAAGAATCACACACGTGGCAGCAATGAACATGTTTCAAGCATTTACTAATTTTGGTCAATGTTGATGTAGTATATAATTATACTACTGTTTATTGTTAAATTCATGTTTGTTCTTAATTGATTTACTAACGTTCATTTATACAACTTGCAGTGTTAAAAATGTATTGGTATTGACAACGTTAACGTACAGAACCTTATTGTAAAGTGTTAACAAATAATGTGCATATTGTGTATTCCTATATTTAAATCAAGACTGTAATTAACAGGATTCCCAAATCTTTTGACCAATTAATTTCCATGTCTTACAATGAACATTTATGATAACTAGATAAGGATTTTAAAAGTTATTTTATACAGATTGCAATTACACAATTTCTTGAGGTTGAAGTATTTTAAAGCTGAACTAGAAATGGGTAGTATATGCACAATACAAATTTATATGCCGTTTTAAGATTTTATTAAATTCAATTGGTTTTGAAGGCCTAGGAATTAAAGTAAATATTAAGAGAAAGTTTAAAGGTATTCCAATTACAGCTTATTCTTGTACACAGTTCTTTATTATTTGGCGCCCCCACGTGGATGCTCAAATTTAGTTTGGTCTCATTATGGAGATACAAAATTTTAAGATGGCATAATTTACACACAAACATTATGGTGACCCCATGCTCGGAATTAGTGCTCTGCATTTACCCATCCAAAGCACACACACACACCGTGAACACACATTAACAACCACACAACAGCCATTTATGCTGCGACGCCCGGGGAGCAGTTGGGGGTTCGGTGCCTTGCTCAAGGGCTCAGTCGTGGTATTGAAGGTGGGAAAGAGCGCTGTACATTCACTCCCCCCACCTACAATCCCTGCCGGTACGAGACTCGAACCCACAACCTTTGGGTTATGAGTCCAACTCTCTAACCATTAGGCCACGACTTCCCCCATTTACTTATGCAGTAAATTTTAAATGTGAAATTTGCATTCATAAAAGCTTACTGAGCTGTCTCTGTAAACGTCCAGGACGACTAAAAGAAATAAAGAAAGAACACTGTTAACGCACATATGTAACTTTTTCAAAACAAGACAAATATTTTCTGCCTCTCCACACTGATACACTTACAGTCCTCATCTGGGAACTGGTATTGAATGTGATCTCTAAAGAATTCCAATATCGCGGAGGAGATGCTGTCCTCTTGTTTGGCGATGTGCTGGTAATGTTGTGTGTAATCTCTCTGACTAATTGCTAAAAAACAAACTTGATCTCAGTATGTAGATTATCACATGCACATGAGGTCAGAGAGGTGCTAGGATAATGTTGTCAGACATTCTGTTTGAAATGTTCTACTTATTTCCATTGCATTACATACATTATACAATACATTCACTTAAAAGCATTATATTTAAAACAGAATACACACATCATGTTAACAAATGCACAATTTTCATACCGATTACTTTGTTCTCTTTCACAAAGCAGCGGAATTCCGCTCCTGGAATGAGCTCGCTCCATTTTCTCAACACCAACTGCAAAAAATGAGTCCCACAGAGTAACAACATATTATTTATTTGGGAATATTTAAGGGTTATTCATTGGGTTTCATTATGACATAATTCAATACAATAATATAATATAAATTTATATGCACATCACTATAAAGTTTTTTATTATTATTTTTTTATTGAAATTAGTCTCATGCTCTTTTGCATTTATTTGAAAAATACAATAAAAAATGTAATTGTGTAATATTATTACAGTTTCAAATAACTGTTTTCTATTTATATATGTTTTCAAATGTAATTTATTCCTGTGATGCAAAGCTGAATTTTCAGCATCATTACTCCAGTCTTCAGTGTCACATGATCCTTCAGAAATCATTCTAATATCCTGATTTGCTGCTCAAGAAACACTTCTCATTATCAATGTTGAAAACAGTTGTGCTGTTTAATATTTTTTTGGAAATTGTAATACATTTTTTCAGGAATCTTTGATGAATTGAAAGTTCAAAAGAGCAGCATTTATTTGGTAATATAATATTATTAATATAACAATATAATACAAGTTTGAGTTTGAACGAGTATGTTTGGCTGTTTTATTGTGATTCTGTACCTCATAGTTTATGGTTGGGTCTGGAGAATCATCACTACAATGGAGGAATCTGACAAAAGAGTACACAATTATCACTTCAACCAACTGCTTTCTTGAATTTCTTGAGAAGAAACCCCAATCACATGGAGCATGATGGGAACTATGAATATCAGCATTTATGAACCTGTGAGCGGTCAGAGATCTGTGCGAGACACTTACGGCTGTGTGAGGTCATGCGTGATGAAATCTGAACTTTTGAAAAGGAGGAAGATGTCGCATAGACTCTGACACTGTAAGGAACTGTTCAGGGCAATCCAGTTAGCGTCCTGAGAGGAAGACCGAAAGATGAAGGCTATTGTGAGTAGTATGTATTCATGTGTATGAAATGCGATTGTAAGTAAAGTCTTCTCACCCGAGGGGCGCTCCAGTTCAGCTTTGGGAAGACACACCCACCTAGAACATTTATTGCCTCTTGCACCCTTATCTTGAACTCTGGGAATTCTGGAGCCTGAAAAAGACTCACACAGTTTAGTACCTGCACAAGTGTATGAGGTGACAGCTTTGGTTGGCTGCTAGGAATCAGACGCACCGTAACTGCTGTTGTAGTTTCATCATCAGTCCACTGGAAACCAAAAGCATGATATCAGGAAACTAGTTGGTTGTTTAAGAGATAACTAAACGTATTTCACACAACCACACACATACCTGAATGTCCTCCTCATCCGAGTCACTGTTATTGGTCTGTGTTAGTGAATTGTTGTTCTCACTATAAAGAGAGACAATCAGATATTGATTTATTTAATAACCAGGCAACACAAAAGTCAAGTTGCCTTTATTTATATAGTGCTTTATACAATTCAGATTGTGTCAAAGCAGCTTTACAGTATTAAACATGAAAATAGTGTGCCATAATGCAGGAGGATGTTAGTAAACACTCAATTTTAAAGTCAGTTCATCATTGATTCAGTGATGTTATCGTCCAGCTCAGTTCAGTAAGTGAACAGAAAGAGTTGTTATAATTTATTCAATACCAAACTTTTGCCCAAATCTCACCTGCCAGAAACCACAAGTGTCCCGTCATCTAATAAATAATCAATTACATTTTGAGGAATAGGTAGAACCAAGCTGGGGAAAAAAGAAAATAACCAAACTTAATTACAACAGCACTGACATAACTATATTAACAGTACAGATAACTATATAAACTCAAAATCAAAGATTTTAAGCATATAGTACATAATGTCCTATATCTTCCTGTATATAATGTACTATAACAAAGCTTAAAATCATTTGAGTTTATATAGAATGCCACGCCACACTGATGCAGTAATTCATGCAAAAGGAGGCCCAACCAAGTATTGAGTGCATAGAAATGAACATCCTTTTCAGAAGCCTGACATTTCTGTTTAAAATATAATTTTTTTCACTGAATTTTGGGTTTTCATTATCTGTAAGCCATAATCATCAATTTCAAGAAATAAAGGCTTGAAATATTTCACTCTATATAATATATGGGTTTCACTTTCTGACATGAGTGACAAAAAATATTGACCTTTTTCATGATATTCAAATTTTTTGAGATGTACCTGTATATAGTAACGTTACCGTGATGGAATCACATGATAATGCAACTGCTAACGCACGAGTTTGTGGACTTTCTGAGTTCCCCCGATCTTTATATATTATCAGTCTGCGCAAATAACTCTCTTACCTCTTAATAGTGTGTTTCTTGAATAAAGGATACCAAACCGAAAACTGACAGTTTACAACCTGCTCTTTCTTCATGCTGCCAGAAACTTACACTGGTTAATCTGCGCAACCTCGAAAACATTCCGCCATAACTATAGTATCAATAACTACAGTTCCGGCTCATAGCCCTGCTTTTTTTTGAAATGAATCTGTATTTCCATACTTCAAGTGGAGTTTTGTGTTCAATTATATTAGTTCTTCTTGAATATTAGAAACCAGGTTGACAGTATAACGTTTAAAATGATCCACTGCACAAGAGGAGGAACGGTTTTAGCAGCACACAAGTAGGCAGATACTTACTGAGCATGTGACTACTTGGAAGAAAACTAACTAAACTGGATGGATCACTGCGATTTATTTGACACACTTTAGGATTTGTCTGGTACGTATTCCACTAATTGAAACTACTTAGAATGATCTCCCGTTACTTTATGTATTAACTAGACTAGCTGAAATAGACTGTGGTCATCATGACAGCATCAGTACATTAATTACTTCATTTCTGTTATACGTGCAGACTTACTGTAGCTGTTCCAGTGCTTAAACATCCCTGATCGCCTGCACAACATGAGCTCTCCTAAGAAAGCGACTACTGAACCTCATGTCATCAAAGAGGAAGTAAGAACCTGTCTTAAAGTGATAGTTCACCCTTAAATGAAAAACTCACCCTCATGTTGTTCGAAACCTGGATGAGTTTTTTTATAGTGCATTTTTCCATGAAATGAATGATGTAATTTTTGCCTAGCAGTACTTGTTTTTCACAGAGGACAAATAAAATCGTATGGGAAAGGAACAATATGAAGGTTCATTTTTGTGTGAACTATCCCTTTAAACTATGCAATTCTTAAGTGTTGTGCTTAAAGTACTCTGGACACATATGAATAATGTGTTCTTGTTAGCTGATAGCGAGTGGAAAATGGGTGAAGCTTGAGAAGACCACATATGTGGATCCCTCTGGAAGCACCAGGTATTGATCTGTGATTGTGTGTGAATGATGTGAGACCTTTGACCTCTGGACTGAGTGGACATGATGATACTCGCACTGATTAGAATGATCTTGTTCGTTGTTGCTTTCCGTTAATCAACCTAAAACATTTTTTCTCTTTCATTTTCACATGAATGGATAGATTGGTAGGTGCTTGTATGCACAATATGATATTAATGCATATTTTTGTCTCCTCAGAACAGATATTATTCAGAAAATATACTAAAAGACATTGTTTTAAAAGTCTCTCCTGGAAGAACTTTTGAATTTTGTATCACTGATTAAACTGAAAGATTGGACTATATGATTCTTATCAGTGCTATAGTTGTTTCTTGTACGTTTTTGTATAACGATTGCTTCTTAAGAAAATGTTATACTATTGTAAATGATGTATTGAAATTATTTTCTTAATGTTGCCGTGAATATAGCCATATTGTCTCCTCAGAACATGGGAAACAGCAAAGAGAACAGCCCGAGTCGCAGACAGCGCTGCCGATGGTGTGTGTGCAGTCTGATGCCTGCTTATTTGAACCAGTGTGTATGCTTTAAAGGGGTCATATGATGCTGCTAAAAAGAACATTATTTTGTGTATTTGGTGTAATGAAATGTGCTTATGAGGTTTAAAGTTACAAAAACACATTATTTTCCACATACTGTACATTATTGTTTCTCCTCTATGCCCCGCCTTTTTGAAAAGCGTAGATTTTTACAAAGCTCATCGGTCTGAAAAGCGAGGTGTGCTCTGATTGGCCAACTATCCAGTGCGTTGTGATTGGCCGAATACCTCAAGCGTGAGACGGAAATGTTACGCCCCTTACCGTACTGTTGACGCCGTGTCCCGGCCGGAGCGACGAGACAAAAACATTAAAACCCATTACAAACGAGGCATTTGTTGCATCCAGTGGGGACATAATTACTGATTATAATGACGTCTACTGTCTTTTTACGCGTTGCGTTGCATTACATTGCGCCGCGTAAAGTGAAAGCCGATCCGGCAATCGACAGCACGAAGTTGAAGTATTTCCTCAGCGACCAGCACGGATCAGCTCTAGGCATGATGAAGCGGATATCGTCCTCTTTTGGAAGACCAAACAAAGTAGTTTCGCTTTCACAACGAAGCACACAGCATCTTCACGACATGGCTGCAGCGTCAACAATACTACAGCTATAATACAAAAGTTACGCCTTCTTTCTTTGCGTGATCATTTGGGCGGCGTTATGCAAATCTTCCCACATAGTGAGGTAGGTATGTGGGGGCGTGTTCGAACGAGCCGTTTTAGGTAGGTGTGGCTGACTTTTATAAAGAATATCTCTTTGGATTTGAGACTTTAGTCTTTGCAACTTTACAGATCTTCTTTATGCACCAAGAGCTTGTAACACTCCAAAGAGAAAGGAAAAATTGAAATCGCATCATATGACCCCTTTAATGCTCTATATTTATTAATAGCAATCATAGCCCTTCTGAAGAGGACTCTGCATAAAGACTGTGTCGTGATGGTGAAGCAGTTTCGTCCACCCATGGAATGCAACACACTGGAGTTTCCTGCAGGTCTGATTAGCCAAAAAAAAAAAAAAAGACCTAATATTACCTAATTTGATGATGCTGAGTTCAGTAAAAACATTCCAGTTTTTCACAAAATAAGAATTAAGATTTGCTTACAGAAGCAGTCAAATGTCTAATTTGAATGACAAAAAGAAGGATTAAAAATGTATAATTTAACTGTTCAAAACTGTTATTAATTAAACTGTTCTTCAGAATCATTCATACATTTGGAGATTGGCTGAGAATTGAAGAAATAATTCTAACCAGGCTCAGAGGAAGAAAGGAACCATGTTTTTTTGTTTGTTTTTTTGCAGTTTTCAGGTGATGGAGGGATAATATAAGACTTATTCACTTTACAAATAGTTGTCGAAAACAAAAATACTGCAAAATCTCATCATATTTTGTGAAAAAGCGTGATGTGCTTGAGCAAAACAGACACTATTTTTTAGAATCGGCGCCTCAGAATTAGTAAGAAGCAAGCATCGGATTCATTCAGAAAATATGATGCAAATATGACAGTGTAGTTATTGATTATTCTCTGTGTGAATATTTCAGGTCTGATAGATGACAATGAGAGTGTTGAAACTGCTGCTTTGAGAGAACTAAAGGAGAAAACGGGTTACAAAGGAGAAGTAGTGGGCATCACCCCAGGTGTGTGTGTGTGTGTGTAGACCTGACAAAATGTTTATAACCTTGCATATTTGAATGTCTCATCCTCATGTCTTTTAGTCACGTGTTTAGACCCGGGCTTGTCTAACTGCACCACACAGATGGTGATGGTACATATCAATGGAGATGACAGTGAAAATATAAACCCCACTCAGCAGCTGGGTGAGTGAAGGAGCATCAGGAAGCTTTTTTACTAATATTTCATCACAGAAACATGTTATTAATGCTGACCAAATAGCTTTCTTTTGTCTCCATCTTGCTGTCTAGGTGATGGAGGTACGTATTTGTTTTCTAATAAAAATGTCAACATTATTGATTTGTGTTTTTTGTTCTGAAAGCATATCATTGCTTGTCTCTCAGAATTTGTGGAGGTTATTCTTCTACCGCTTGATGAATTTCAGCAAAAAATTGATGGTGAGTGATCTTGCTAATGAGAAATACATAAATCTTTAGTTTTTAATGATATCTGTTCGATATAAATAACTGTAATGCTAAAGAAAAGTGTGTGAATAAATGGCCTGTTTATTCATTATGATTTTCAGTTTGTTAGGTTTTGCTTTGGTGTACTAAACCTGAATTGTTCTTTTTTTGTTCTTTTTAATAGAGCTGCTGCAGAAAGAGAAAATAGTGGTGGACTCCAAGGTGTATATTTATGCCATGGGAATGTCCCAGGCCTTCTTTAAACCCAGAGAGCTGCCTGTGCTGAAGCAGTGAGATGCACAAATCTCTCACCTGGAGTACACTAAAGACAGACAAAGTGTGTGTGTGCTGTCACACACTGTGTATGGAAGCCTGTTTACGCAATGGGATTAAAAAAAAATAATAATCATAATAAAAAAGGGAAATTGCGACTTTTTATACCACAATTTCTTCAGAAAAAGAAGAAGTCAGAATTGCGAGACTAGTGAGTTCTAGTGAGATACAAACTCAAAATTTTGACTTTTTTTCAAATTTTTCTCTGAATTTTTTGTTTACATCTCATTATTCTGTTTTTTGTTTGTTTCTGTCATGGAATATAAAAAAAGGAATTGCAAGTTTATATCTCACAATTCTCACAGTCAGAATTGGGATATATAAACTCTTTGTGAGATTAACAAGTCACCGTTTTTATTATTATTATAATTTTTTCATTCCATGGCAGAAACGGGCTCCAGAAACCTAGCTGTGATGAAATCAACCAATACTTGACCATGACCTTAGTGTTTTGCCACGGTTGCCTGAACATTCCTATAAACTAACAGTTATAACAACTTACTTGATTAACAGGTATTCAGCGTTTGCACTGTTTTAGAATGTAATAATATGAATATATAGGATCTGACCAAATGTAACAAAGTATTGGAAACGGAAAATTTAACTTTTTTTGCTCTCCTCTGTGAATGTTTTGCGTGTGTCCTGTCTGCTGTTGACCTTTAATAATAAATTATATTTATAGGTCAAAGTGTCACAGAAAGACTTCTCATTAGGAAAGGCACTTTGTATTTTGATCAGATCTTGGCATTAATCTAGTAAAACTGACCCCAAAAGTGTGTTTTTGATGTACTGTAGCTTTGTTTTCACATAAGATCAGTAGCAGATTATTATACATTGTGTATCCAGTTGTCCAGTTTGTGCTGGAAGATGCAGATTCAATGCTGTTTACCTAAATAGCTACTCTTTTTGTCTAATAAATTTGACAGTTTAAATTTTGCACGTGTGTGTGGTTTTGTCTCTAAATGGATCATTCTTGTAATTCTTCCTATAGACCTATAGATGTGCTCACATTTACTTAGAGTGTAATCCAAATGAATTAACAAACCCAACTTTGATTTCTTTCTAGGGTTTATTGGCCGTTTGCACATCTTACCAAACTTGGCACAGAAAGTTTGTATATTTATATTTGCATAACTATGAAGAATTAAGAAATCCATACAGTATATTATGTAAATGATCAATTGATTAGAAAAATTTAATGCATTTATAATTTGTATTTTGTCGAATTTATACAAATTATTATGCTATTATAATGATTCATTATTTTAAAGTCGAATTATACTTATCTTAAGCAAAATCGAAATCTAAACGAAAGTAACCCTTTACCAACAAATAAGCTTTTTTTTAAAAACACATTAAGCATGTTTTTAAAAGTTATTAGAGCCGAAAAAGTAAATATAGCCACGTGAGGCTACATTAAACCTTTAGTTGTTATTTTTTTTTAGTTTATATATTTTTTTTGCTAATAATTTTGTACAGCTGTGATACTTTTGCTATACAAATGAATTCGTTTTTTATATTGTTGTAATTATTTATTTTGTTGTGGACAGGCACGAAGTTCTACCGGGAAAGTGACGTAGTTCCGGGTTCCTGAATATTAAACACTTTTCGCGCCAACATTGAAACAACAGCTGCTACGTTTGATCCAGCGCAGCAATATTTAATCGCCTCATTTGAAAACAAAGCGAAGAAAAGCTATCCAAATCAACATGACAGGTAAGCTCAGCAGCGTCTTAGTACAAATGCTAGGCTAGTTTATCACTCTGTTGAAATAAACCATAGTTAAGTTAGGTGAGAAATGGAAGTTGCTGCAGTTCCTGGTCGAGCAAGACGTTTAAATCTCTGTTTTCTAGCTAAATATATTTGTCTGCTTTAGCCGTATCACTAAATACAACATCATGTATATAAGTTTGATATATTGCTAAATTTGTATAGTCTATAGTATGTTCCTGTACTTTATCTGATCATATATTTTAAATGCAGTGCATGTGTATTTTAAGCATAGTTACCATACCATACATTATATGGTATGTTATATATGATCCCTACAATCCTTACTGTTTGCTAAATGTGAAGTATACTATATATATATATATATATATATATATATTAGTATACTTCATATGTTATATGAAGTATATATACATATATA